ATTTGTTTGGGAAATTTTCTTGATGGGAATTTAAATCATACGACTTCTTAGAAGTAGTTCAGGATTTTTTTTCTAAGCATTTGTGACAGAACCTACAAGGGTAATACCTGCTTGTTTTAGTTCGGGCAAAAAATGAATCCCTTTTTAATAATTTAGAATTTTCAGAAGAACTGGGTCTACGACCAAAATCAATTAATTTAGAATTGAAGGAATATGTGTAGGAAAATCGAAACAGTCCCAGATTTTTGCTTAGCAGATTACGATGGGCTTAGAGAAAAAAAATTATCATCTGTTTACTGGGGTAAAGAAGAGAGCATCAAAAGACAGTTTCTGAACCAATACATGCTGCTCAAAAACATTTATCCCTTATAAAAAAATTTTGATCAAAAGAAATGACCCAAAATGGGTGAATAATGGGGTAAATTCCTTTGGGGATAAGAAAGGGAAATTTTTAGGGTATCAAAGAGGCGAGGGTCACTTATGAATCATATATTGACACTAAAGGGACATTAAAAAGGGGATAAGAAAAACTAAAAAGGGATATGAAATTTAAATTTTCTAGGGATTTGAGAACAACCCAAAAATTTTTTCCAGGTAATGACAAAAATCAGAGAAAGATAGGTCCCCTTAAAAAAAAAATGGGCATCTTACTGACAAAGAGAATGAAATGTGCTCGTTTTAATAAATTTTTTTCTCTCGGTTTTTTTCACAGGGAAAACATAAAAAATTCCCCGGGAATTAATTTTTTAGGGATCAGAAGAAGATAAATTATTAACATCACAGTCACTGTGAAATGGTTGTGAAGCAGAAGACAGACTGAAGCAAAATAAGTCACCGGGCCCTGAGGGTTTTTTAAAGGGTTCAAAAGGATGAAAAAAGGAAGCGGAAACCCATTAACTAATATTTTTAATTTTCTTTTCAAACAGGGCAGTGTGATATGTGGAAATGGCAAATTTAAATTTCCTTTTTTTTTAAAACGGGGGCCCAGTCGTTACCGTAAAATTTTCCCGCCCAATACCCTGACCTAAATTTGTAGGAAAATTATAGAGTCAATTATAGCTGAATTAAATGAAGCCATCTCGATAACTACTTGTTTAAATGATCCAGCAGGGATTCCAAGGGGCCGGGGTCTTGTCTAACAATTTTTTAAACTTTCTTTAGAAAGCTTTTGGGCGTGACCACGATAAAGAATTTGATATTATTTACTTATTTTTTGTAAGGATTTTATAGAGTTCTGCCCCAAAAACTGTTAAGAAAATAGCAGCTCATGGGTGGGGAAGGGTGCCCGTGGGTCGAATCAGGCTCACAGACAGAAACAAAGAGTGTCCATAAAGGGGTTTTAAAACCGGTGGGGATCAGTAACAAGTGGCGTTCCCCCGGGACAGTCTTGGGGCCCCCTTGTTTTTAATATAATCAATGATCTGATGAAGGAATTTCTATAATATGAGCAAATTCGCCGATACACGAAGATAGGGAGGAAAAATTGTTTAACGTAGATGTTGGAACTTTAGGAGGGTTTAGACCACTCTATCTTGGTCAGAAAATGGGAGATGCGTTAATTTTAGATAAATCAAGGGCGAAGCTCGGGAGTGTCCATAACCCTAGCCTTTTAAATTAAATAAATTTGAAATTAAAATACAATTTTCGAAAAGGACTTGGGGGTTATGGTAAGCAGCAACCTTAAACCAAGACAGCAATGCCTAAGCGAACGTAATAAGGCAAATAGATTGCTGGGATTTATATCAAGAAGTGTAAGCAACAGAAGTCCAGAGGTCATACTGCAGCTTTATACATCATTAGTAAGGCCTCACCTAGATTATGCAGCTCAATTCTGGTCTCCATATTACAGTGGCAATATAAACACAAATGCAGTATAATGTGATCCTTTATTGACTACGTTTCGCCCACACAGTGGGCTTTTTCAAGTCACAAACAGAAACTACCTGGGGTGAAAGGAAACGCGAGTATTTATAGTCCGGCTGAGGTCAGGTGAAGAATGCTGCATCTGATGATGTACCGAGTGGGGTTATAGAGTCTAAAAACTTGGGTAGCTTGGAAAGGAGATTGGATAAGTTAGTGAGCAGACCTTCTACAGTGTTCTTATGTGGGATAGCGATGAAGAAGTTTCTGGGCAAGTGGTTCAGCTATGTTATAGAAGCCACTATTCTGGTTGAAGTTGTCGGATATAGAAATAAGTGATGATTCCAGGATTCTTCGGTATTGAGTGTTGTCTTCTGTGGCGATAAGTCTTGGATTTCTGTGTTTATCAAGTGGTTGCGTGAATTACGGGTGTGTACGCAGGCATTCCTTGTGTCGTCAGACCTGCTTGCGTATTGGTGTTCTGAAATACGTGTTTGGAGGGCCCTTGATGTTTCGCCCACGTATAACTTGTTGCAGTCATTACAAGGGATTATGTATACCCCTGCAGAGGATGGAGGCTTGTCCTGCCTACTACTGGTGATGTCCTTGAAAGGTGTGGTTGTGGAGGTACATACTTGGAATGATATTTTGGCAAAAAATGTTGGAAACATGTTTGGCAATGGAGTTGGTGGGAAGGACTATGTATCTCTTCTCGGCAGTGTCTTCTCTGGGTGTGTTGAAGATGTTTAAAAGCTCGCCGTCTGCAGTCTCTGATGAAGTGACGAGGATAGTGGAGTTTAGAAAATATTTGTTCAATTATAGTGCATTCTTCCTCAAGGAACTCGTTGCTGCAGATTTTGAGTGCACGGGAGGAAGAAGCCTATAATCACACCACGTTTGGTTTTGGTGTCGTGGTGAGAGTAGAAGTGGAGAAGATCGTTTTGGGTTTGGGGGGTTTTCGATAGACTTTAAAACGAAGTTCGTGGTCAGCTTTGCAGAGCAGGACATCAAGGAAAGGAAGAGTGTTGCGACTTCTTCTTCAAGTGTGAAATGGATTGAAAGGGTCGACCTGGTTGAGCTTGTCTTGGAGAGCTTGAACGTTGAAGCGTTTAGGAGTTATGAGGAGAATGTCGTCAACATAACGGAGCCAGGTGACAGACGAAGGAATAATGGTGGAGAAACGTTCGGCTTCTAGATGTTCCATGTATAGGTTCGCCAGGACTGCACTGAGTGGGAACCCATGGGTAGTCCAAAAGTCTGCTGAAAGAGGTGATTTTCGAAAGAGAAACACGTAAAGCCAACACAAGTTCAACAAGGTCGATGAAATCGCTGGCTGGAATGGGAAGATCAATTTAAAACGTCAATTTTCCTGCGCAAGAGATCGATGGCTTGTGTGTAGGTTTCTTTGGTGAATAGGGAAGTCACGTCAAGGCTGGAAAGTTTCTTGTTCCTGAAAGTTGATGTTGCGAATGCGATTGAGAAGATCACCTGAGTGTTTGAGATGTGCTGGACTGATAGTGCCCAAGAGTTTAGAGAGGTGTTTGGCGAGAATTCCTGAGAGCTGGTGGGGAGCACTGCCTATTCCCGAGGATATGGGCCTCAGTGGGATACCAGGCTTGTGAGTCTTTGGCAGGCCGTACATTCTGGCAGGTCTGGGGTTGCTGGGCATGGGTGAAGAAGTTTCTTCCCTTGTTCTGAGCCCCTCAGAATGCGGCGAGTCCTTTGAAGAAAAGTTTTAGTAAGGTTGTCCACTTGGTTAGTTGTGAGAGGGAGAGGGAAGAAACTTCTTCACACCATGCCCAGCAACCCCAGACCTGCCAGAAGGTACGGCCTGCCAAAGACTCACAAGCCTGGTATCCCACTGAGGCCCATATCCTCGGGAATAGGCAGTGCTCCCCACCAGCTCTCAGGAATTCTCGCCAAACACCTCTCTAAACTCTTGGGCACTATCAGTCCAGCACATCTCAAACACTCAGGTGATCTTCTCAATCGCATTCGCAACATCAACATCAGGAACAAGAAACTTTCCAGCCTTGACGTGACTTCCCTATTAACCAAAGTACCTACTACACAAGCCATCAATCTTTGCGCAGGAAAATTGACGATCACTTGATTTCCCATTCAGCCACGATTTCATCGACCTTTTGAACTATGTTTTGGGCTTTACGTGTTTCCTTTCGAAAATCCCCCTTTTTCAGCAGATTTTGGACTACCCAGGGTTCGCCATCAGTGCAGTCCTGGCGAACCTATACAGGGAACATCTGAACCGAACTTTCTCCCCCATTTTCCCTTCGTCGTCACCTGGCTCCGTTATGTTGAGACTTCTCCTCATAACCCCAAAACGCTCAACGTTAAAGCTCTCCAAGACAAGCTCCCCCAGTCGGCCTTCAATCCTTCCACTTAAAGAAGAAGCGACAACACTCTTCCTTTCCTTGATGCCGCTCGCAAAGCTCCCCAAATTCGTTTTAAAGTCTATCGAAAAACCACCAACCCAAAAGATCTTCTCCACTTTACTCCACCACGACCCCAAAAACCCAAACGGGGTTTAAAATTATGGGCTTCTTCCTGCTGCACCAGAACTGCAGCAACGATTTCCTTGAGGAAAATGCACTAAAATTTGAAAAAATTTTTTTCTAAACTCCACTACCCTCGCATTTCCCTCAAGACGCAGACGGCGAGCATTAAACATCTTCAACACCCCAGAAAGACACCCCGAAAAGAGATACATAGCCCCTTCCCCCCAACTCCATTCCCAAAACATGTTTCCAACATTTTTTCCCAAAACACTTTCCCAATATGTACCTCCACAACCCCGACCCTAAGGGGAAACACCATAGTAGGCAGGCAAGCCTCCTCCCTGCAGGGGTATACATAACCCTTGTAATGACTGAACAAGTTATACGTGGGGGAAAAAAAGGACCCCAAAAACATTTCAGAACACCAATCGCAAGCAGGTCTGACCACAAGGAATGCCTGCGTTTTCAAAACCCTAAAACACGCAACCCCTTTTATAAAATACAGAAACCCAAGACTTATCGCCACAGAAACACATCAATACCCAAGAAACCTGGGAAACATCATTATTTCTATATCCGACAACTTCAACCAAAAATGGTTTTATAACAAAGCTGAACACTTGCCCAGAAACTTCTTCATCGCTATCCCACATAAGAACACTGTAGAAGGGCTGCTCACTAATTATCCAATTCCTTTCCAAGCTACCCCAATTTTTAGATCATAACCCCCCCCGGTACATCATCAGATGCAGATTCTTTACCTGACCCAGCCCCGGGCATAAATACTCGCGTTCCTTTCACCCCAGGTAGTTCTGTTTTTGGGCTTGAAAAAGCCCCCGTGTGGGCGAAACTGTCAATAAAGGATCACTTTTAATGCATTGTGTTTATATTGCCTTGGGGTCGGTATTTTATACCATTTATCTCCATTTACAGAATGGACATAAAATTTGTTAGAAAACTTTTCAGCGTGGGATGACAAATTAAACATAGCATTAAAAACCCTTTCCCTTATGAAGAAAAAAATTGAAGACTCTTAATTTACATTCATTTGGGTTAGACGAAAATGAGGGGAGACATATCGAAGTGTATAAGTGGAAGATAGGTTTTAAATTTAAAGGGGGGGATATTAACGAGGTCTTGGGGATATCTCTCCAAGAGGGGAACCCCGCAGTAATGGTTTTAAAAATTTAAAGAAAAGGGTTTAGATTTAAAAAAGGACATAGGAAAGTTTTGGGTTTTGGGGAAATAGGGTATTTTAAAGAGTGGAACAGTCTCCCTATTTGGGGTTATTGAGGCTGGGACTTTGGGTATTTTAAAATTTTAGGTTGGATAAGTACTTTGATGAGAGGGGTTGGTTTTGAGTGGGACTTGCACATCCAAGTTATTTTTGGGGTAGCTTTTAAAAATTGGGGTTGGTAAATTTGTTTTTTAAAGGGGGATAAAATTGAAAAGGGGACCTGCCTATTAGGGGCCCAAAAGGCCTGCTGCAGTGTTCCTCCTTTTTTAATTTTCTTTTGATATCTTCCAAGAGAGAACCCGAGTAATGGTTTTAAATTTTAGATAAGTTTAGTTTTAAAAAGGGACATAGGAAAGAAATTGGGTTTTTGGGAAATAGGGTAGTAATGATGGAACGGGTCTACCTATTTTTGGGTTATTGGTTTGGACTTTGGGTATTTTAAAATTTTTGGTTTGGGAAAATAAAAAAACATGAGGGGGGAGGGGTTTTGGTTTTGGGGGCCCTTGCCACATCAAAAAGCTTTTTTCTTGGGTAGAAATTAAAAATTTTGGGTGGGTTCAAATTTGTTAGTGGGATGAATTGAAAAAGGAACCTCCCTAGTAGGGGCCAACAGGCCTGCTGCAGTTTTTCCCCCCCTTTTTTATGTTCTTTGTACTTAAGAACTTTTTATCCCTTAAAAAGGAAAATGAGATCAAATAGAAATGACCCAAAAGGGGATGAATAATAGGCTAAAAATATCTTTTTTGGGAAATAGGCGTATCAAAAGAGGCGGGGGGCATTTTAAGTCGTATTTTGACATTAAGGGACTTTAAAAAAGGGGGTTTAAAGAAAAGCTAAAAGGGACTATGAAATTAAAGTTGCTGGGGATTCTAAAACTAACCCCAAAAATTTTTCCATTATGGGAAAAAAGTCAGAGAAAAATAGGCCCCCTTTAAAAAAATAATTTTGGGGGCATTTTTTACTAAAAAGAGAATGAAAGGGCCCTCGTTTTTTAAATAATTATTTTCCCCCCTTTGGGGTTTTTACACGGGAAAACCCACTAATAATTTTCCCGGGAAATTTAAATTTTTTTAAAAGGGGATCAGAAGAAGATAAATTATGTAAACATCATAGTCACCATAAAAATGGTTGTGAAGCAGTTTAGCCCGACTGAAGAAAAATAAGTCCCCGGGCCCTGTTTGGGTTTTTTCAAGGGTTCTAAAGGAAATTTTTTTAATTTTATCTCTTCAAACGGGGTGTGTGTCTGATTGTGGAAGATGGCTAATGAAATTCCTTTTTTTTTAAAACGGGGGACAAGTCGTTCCCGTAAAATTTCCCGCCCAAACCCCTTTACCTAAATTTGTAGGCAAATTACTAGAGTCAATTTTTAGCTAAAATTTAAATAAGAAGAAAACCCTCGAAAAGCTTAGCCTGATTAATGATACTCAGCATGGATTCACAAGAGGCCGGTCTTGTCTAAAATTTAAATTTTTTAACTTTTTTCAGTAAAGCTTTTGAGGCTGTTGGGGCCACGATAAAGAATTTTTTTTTATTTACTTAGATTTTTGAAAGGGATTTTTATAAGTTTTCCCCACCAAAGAGTTGAAAAAAGAACAGCTCATGGGTTGGGGGAAGAGTGCTCCCCGTGGGGTCGAATCATGGCCACAACAAGGAAACAGAAGTGTCCTTAAAAGGGGGTTAAAAACCCAGTGGGGGTCAGTAAAGGGGCGTTCCACCGGGGTCAGTCCCTTTGGGGCCCCTTGTTTTTTTTAATATTATCAATGATCTTTATGAAGGAATTTCTAGTGATTGAGCAAAAATTTGCCGAGACACATAGAAAAGTAGGAAAAAATTGATTCAAAAAGTAGATGTTAGGGAACTTCAGGGGGATTTAGACAAACTCTACTCCCTTTGGGCAGAAAAAATGGCAGATGCAGTTCAAAGTAGGGTAAATGCAAGGTTTTGAAATTCGGGGGAAATGTCCATAACCCCAGCACTTATAAGTTTAAAAAAATGTAGAACTTTTGCCATACAGGGTTGCGAAAAGGGGCTTGGGGTTTTGGGGAAAACACAACCTTTAAAACCCAAAACAGCAAAAGCCCCAAGCGTTTCGTAAAAAAGGGGAAAAATTACTGGGATTTATATCATGAAGTGTAAGCCCAAAAGAAGTCCCGAGGTCCTAAATGCAGCTTTATAACCCTTAAAGGCCTCACCCAATTTTCAGCTCAATTTTTGGTCTCCATATTACAGGGAAAGGACATAAAATTTGTTAGAAAAACTTCAGCGAGGGGTGAAATAAATTTAAAAATAGATTAGAAATTTTTCCTTATGAAGAAAAATTGAAGACCTTAAGTTACATTCACTTTTAACGAAAAATGAGGGAGGGCCTGTTTGAAGTGTTTTAAGTGGAAGATAGGTATTTTAAAAAAGGGGTATTAACAAGGTCCTTTTAGGAAATCTCCCAAGAAGGGGAACCCGCAAATAATGGATTTTTTAAAATTTGATAAGTTTAGATTTAGAAAAAGGGCATAGGGAAAAATTTTTGGTTTTTTTAAATAGGGTAGTTTATGAGTGGGAACGTCTGCCTAGTTGGGGGGGTTGAGGGTAGGACTTTGGTGTTTTAAATTTAGGTTGGGTAAGTACATGAGTGGAAGGGGTTTTGGGTTTGAGTGGGACTTGCACAAACAAGGGTTATTTTTTTTTGGGGGCCCCTTGAAAAAAAGGGGTTTGGGCAAATGTTTGTTAGTGGGTTTAATTGTAAAGGACCCCCGCCTAAATAGGGGCCAAAAAGGGGTGAGCAGGTTCCTCCTTTCTTATGTTCTTATGTTCTTAAATTATTTAAAAATCACAGTCACTAGTTTAAAAAGGTTTGAAGCAGATTTGACCGACTAAAAAAAAATAAGTCACCGGGTCCTGATGAGGTTTTTTCAAGGGTTCTTAAGGAATGCAAAATGGAAGTCTGTGAACCATTAACTAATATTTTTAATTTATCTCTTCAAACAGGTGTAGTGTCTGGTATGTGGAAGAAGGCTAATGTAATTCCTATTTTTAAAACAGGGGACAAGTCGTTACCGTCAAATTACCGCCCAATAAGCCTGACCTCAATTGTAGGCAAGTTGCTAGAGTCAATTATAGCTGAGGTTATAAGAAGCCATCTCGATAAGCATAGCTTGATTAATGATACTCAGCATGGATTCACAAGAGGCCGGTCTTGTCTAACTAATTTATTAACTTTCTTCAGTTAAGCTTTTGAGGCTGTTGACCACGAAAAAGAATTTGATATTATTTGTAATAAAGTTGGTAGAATTACCGACAATATGTAAAGTAAAAGCACACAAGTGCAACTAATGTGACATTTATTGTGGCAACGTTTCGCTCTCCAGGAGCTTTATCAAGCCATTACAAACAATACATGGACACAGAGGGTATATAAAGGCTCAGAGTGAGGTGAATACTAGTGAGGTACCATTTCGATGTTCACTAGTGGTAGTAGTAGTAGTAGTAGTAGTGGTAGTGACAAAAGTAATACAATATGGTAGAGCAATTAATTCGTACATGAGTAAAAGGATATAAAAGCATTACTTGGGTAACATAAAAATAGGTTGGACAAATATAAACTGGAATGAGGCAGCTTGTTTCAGTGTTCACTCTCTGTGCTTTGTGTAGTGTAACAGGAGAGATTATGTGATGGCAGGGTTTACTGTTTTCAGGAGGATTCTTGCTAAGATTTCGGAGATGGTGAAGCTGCCGTTGTTTTGTTTAATTGTATTCGAAACAGCGATCAGTGCTGATTCAAGGCACTTGCGTGTGCGGAAATTATTTTCTTTTATCACTAATTTGGCGTCTCTGAATTTCATAAGATGATTGGTGGAATTTCGGTGTTGTACAAACCTACGGCATGGGAATGGGGTCCCCAATAAGTGCCGTCGTAGCCAACTTATACATGGAACACCTAGAGTCCGAACACTTCGCCAACATCATCCCTTCAAGCGTCACTTGGTTACGTTACGTGGACGATGTCCTCATTCAGTCATTCATTCATTCATTAAAGATTTGCCGGTACTTCCAGCCCGGGTCTTCTCCAGATGGTGACCCGGCGGTGGCCCCCGGGGCGGGGGTGTCGATCGTCTTCTTCATTCTTCTATCTTCTCTCTTGGGCCCTCCGGTTGGAGGGTAACTTCTTCTTCTATCTTGCACTGACTCCCCAAGTGGGGAGTGTCTTCTTTCTTTCTCGTCGGCAGGCATCGCAAGGTCAAGGGTCTTCAGGCACTTGTAGCCCCGTCAAATGTTGGTAGTGTGGCATTGGTTCTAGGTGATTCAGACTTTTACCTAGAAAGCGGTACAGGCTCCATTGGTTTTTTTTTTTTTTTTTTTTTTTTTTTTTTTTTTTTTTTTTTTTTTAAACCCGGGGGGGGAGAGGAGGT